GAGTGTATCTTGCCAAGTTTGAAAAAAGCCTGCAGGCTTCCAGGCAATTTTTGAACCCAATTTAAATGGCTGGTTTTAAAGCTAGGTTATGCCTCTGAGTACAGGAGTCTTGTCCTCAATAGTCTCCTCCTGCTGAAACTGCTTTGGTTTGTCCTTTTCAAGCCCCTCTGCTATCCTAGGTGAGACAGAGAAACTTCTTAGCTGTGGCCAATTGTTACTTTTCTGGCTAGTTTTCTTTCTTGCACCAAATAAAGCTCTTTTGATTTGATCAGGCATTTCAGATGTTTTATAATTGCTGTATTTGGACATTTTAAAATATTAAGGTTATTTTAAAACCCTCTGGAAGCATTGGAGCCAAGGAGCCAAGTGAAAAGTTTTAGCACAGATTGCACCTGGCCAAAATCCTCACAGTACATTTCAGGTAGCCTTGATGGATTTCTCTACCCTGGAGAGAGAGATTTTTTAAGATAGCAGTTTATATAATCTGATGCTTGAATAATACAAACTGATCTGTCCGCCCATCACTGTTATTAGATGACTATCTCCCTACATGTCCCCACTGTGATTAGGGTGGGAACCCTTCTGTAGCTTCTCTGCATTCTTATTTATGGCCCACTAAACCCTCTTGAGACCGTGCTACTGAAAATCAGGGCAAATTGGCACCTTTTCTTTGGTGTGATTTTTTTCCTTGTTTTTGGTGCTTTTATTGGGCAAAATACTTCGATTCCCACTTTTAAATATGTTAACTGAAGCAAAAAAAAAAAAAAAAAAGTTAAGTCACTGCATTTCTAGAAATTCTTTGGTGCTCTTTCAGTAGCGCAGAAAACTAGATTATGGTTACAACCCAGAAGAAGTTGCCCTATGAGCTAATTTCAAAATGTAGTGAGAGGCATTTGATACTGCGGCTGAGCTACAGATGTGAAAATCAGAGCAAGTGAGGAGAAATTAAGATGAAAGCAGCAAAACCAGATAAGATGACTGCTTTTCTTTAAGTTCACCATTATAGTTTTCACATGAATGGCCATACTGCACATGGGAACATAGAAGCAGATGGCTGTACAAAACATTTCAGAACTCATACAACACGCACATTTCTCCAGCTTCAGGCAGTGCAACTATGTACTGCACTAAGCCAGAGTCCTGCTTTCTTTGATCATGATCAGAGCATGTTACTCATTCCAGCATCTGCTCTTAGTAAACTTTTCCAAGTATAGAAATAGTAGAAAACAGGCAAAGGCAATTGCTGGTGGCTGAAGGGAATTATGGAAGAAAAGAGATTGAGAACAGGGTCTTCTGGAAATTTTATAGCTCTTGTAGATCACAATTCTTTTGTAATACATAGTCATTCATCAATGGCAGATTGTTCCTGAGATACCATGCCAATTTATACAGTACAGTGCAAAAGCTTTAGGCAGGTGTGAAAAAATGCTGCAAAGTAAGAATGCTTTCAAAAATATATATTGTAAT